AGCTAAGCCTCCTTAACGATACTAAAACGGCACAGTTCGATATTCTAGCTATAACGGAGCCGTACCTTTTCGCCTTCTAAGGCGAGACGTAACCAAGAGTAACCACCCACTAATAGTAGGCGGCCTTTACTCTATCAATTAACAGAGAAGACGGCCATATCAGGCATAGGTACTAGGTGCTCATATAGGCCCACACGAGAGTATAGGCCTAAGGGATCCCGGTACAGTCACCCGATATAGCCGTAGTATTACTACGCTCCCAGCGGGGCCTAGTATTAATATTCTTAGTATATATCCCTAGGGATAGCGCTACAGTTTATCAACGCGAAGACTAGTTAGCGGAGAGGGTATAGTTACTACAAGATACTATTAGCAAAACTAAAGAGAAAGAGGGACCGGACCTTAAGATCCTCGTTATAGGGGATTTTAACCGGCACGACCAGCTCTAGGGAGGGAACTACGTTAGCGAGGGGGCCCGGCAGGGCGAAGCTATAGGGATCCTAGATTTTCTCTAGGCCTAGCACCTCTAGTCCCTCTTACCACCCGGGACCGTTACCTAGGAACACTAAAGCCTCCGCTCGAGGTCAACGGTAGACTTAGTCCTCGCGTCCCCGGGGATAGCGAATAGGATAGTATACTACCAGATTTATAAGATAGACTACAGGTCTAACCACCGGGCGATCGAGTCACGCTTTAACGTCTCTCTAACTAAGGTTAAGCCGAAGGAAGGGAGGTACCTATTTAAGGACGCAGACTAGGAACAGATCCGATAAAAGTACGGGCTACAGCAGTACCCGCAAGAGCTTAGCTCTACCTAAGAGATCGACACCGTAGCCGAAACGCTAGTACAGGAGGTTCAAGGAGTTATAGAGACACATATCCCGAGGGCCCGCCCTTCTCTATACGCGAAGCGATAGTAGACCCGCGAGCTTACTAACCTGCGCCAGCAGGTTACGCAACTACGGAACCGGGCAACGCAAATAAGACGTAAAGGGATCCTAACGGAAGCGATCGTAGAGTAGTTAAAGGCCGCCCGCCGAATCTACTTTAGTAAAATCGACCGC